TAGCTCACTTTTCATCAGGGATACCCATGTCGAAGGAAGGTGACCCTCCGTGTTAGAGGGCACCCAGATGATGGTTGATGTCCACAGGGGCAACGAGCTCGCGTGTTTAAGTATGCCTAGTTTCGTGAAGCGTCTCAAATAACTTCTCATATTGCTATTGGAGGACCTCATTCTTCATTGCTATCTTGTTGTTCTGAGCTTCTAGCTCATCGACTTTAACTTGAAGAGCAACCCTATTTCCTTCCTTCTTTCATTGTTTTGCATTAAGTGCAAGATGGGTGTCATTCTGTGTGCTGCGGCTTCGTTCTCTCCCCATGTTGGAGAGGGATGCCTGGTCAAAAGAGAGTGTACGAATGGTTGAAACCAGCTTGACAAAACTGAAGAGAGTGGGAATAAGTGTCGTTCCCACAGACGGCGCCCAATGTTGATACATAAAATCAGTGAGGACTTTGGTACAACAGAAAGTGTCAAGTTTGTGACCTTCGCTAGATTGCTTCAGTCACTAGTGTGGATAAGTATATAAATGGATAGAGACAGGGAAGCAAACACAAGATGTATGTGGTTCACCCAGATTGGCTACGTCCACGGAGTGGACGAGTTCTCATTAATTGTGAAGGGTTTACACAAGTACATAGGTTCAAGCTCTCTTTTAGTGAGTACAAATGAATGATTTAGTACAAATGACATTAGGAAATATTGTGAGAGAATGATCTCTATTTATAGAAAAGAGTTTCTAGTTTCATTCTGACATTGACATGTGTCGTGTTGTGATTGGCTTCTGATGTTGACACGTGTTGCGCTATGATTGGCTTCTGATTTCGACACGTGTCGCGCTGTGATTGACCTCCTGGTTGGAGGGAAACTCTTCTGGGTCCTTGACGGTATAACGTTGACTGGTGCTCAGTAGTTTGGGATTGGTCAAGTATGGTACAAACACATTCCATTATACTGTCTATATTTAGTTATAATAATTTCATTTGCATACAATTGATTCCAACCCAAATAGAATATTAGTTTGACTTAGAAACGATTGTAATGATTCAACACACAAATACCTAATTATCCTACCTGTAATATTTTTTGGAAAACCAAGGTTGGCGATATTTCTTCTTCATTGTGAACAATCAGGTAAATTCCACACTCAAAACATTACAGTCTTCACTTATGTATCAGAGGTCGATATGATGCTAATTACTTTCTTTCCAAAATCAGGTTTGAGTGGCACTTTGAATGCAACAAAACTAAAATAAGGATCTTCAGTTGTTCTTTTTGGACTTGGTTCCATTGGCATTGCTGTAAGTGTGGACAAACTTTGTTGATCCGAAATCATTTATTATGTATACTTATACATGGCTTTGCCTAGGCTGCTAAAGATGTAAGTAATTTAATGGGAAAAATTAGAAATAGATTTATGCTTACAACATTATTTCTCTAGATTTAACAGAAATTTGGAGTGAAAGTTGCCGTTTATATCAACATAGATACTCAACTTTTATATACAACCTTATAATTTATTAATTTGATCTGTAAAATCAACATGTTATTGCTGAGATGACCAATGACGAAGTTGACAAGAGGATAGCAAATCCCAAAGTTGTGTACATGCAATCCTCTAAATCAGGTTCAATATAGCCTCAAATATGCAATCTTCTAAGAGTTAATATCACTGATAAATTGTGTTGTATATTATTATATAATAATGCATGTTTTATTTAAGAGTTACCTATAAAATTCAGTTTGGAAATGAGAAATTGGAGTTGTTTTCTATGTCGGTTATGGGATTGACAATTTTTGACTTAGTTTTGGCTAAGAAAGAATTAGACTGTTACTTATTAAGTTGAGTTAGGAGGATTGTAGTGTTGAAAATTAAGAAGGGTTAGTGCTATTGTAATGGCATTTGCATTTGTTTTGAACCTAAAAAATATTTGGCCATTTTCTATACTGAGATCTGAAGACATGAGAGTATCGAAAAGGATCCATTTATTAAAGTAACAACGCAATGGTGGTGGGAATAAGCGTTCTCAGGTACCTATGGATGTGATATGAATTAGGTGGATGATGTTGAAGCATCAATAAAAAAAAACAAATAGGATCTCATATATTTTACATTAATCCATAGATTAGTGCTTGAATGATTAGCTTCTGAAACAAGAACAACACAATTTTTTTGCTTTTTTGTTTAGCTGTTAAAACACGTGCCTAGCCCGCAAGACATATTTTGCCATCTTAACTTGAAGGGCAATATAAGTGTTAATTGCATGTTGCTTCTGTTTCTCAAGAAAATAGAGCATTTTCTTGCAACTGTATCTTTTGTAATAAGCTCGGTTGAATGTATATAGAAGCCGAATTGCTCATCTTACCGACACATTTCACTCATCTATCCCTTTTGTTCGTTCATGATTATGTTGAATTTTTTTTTTTCAGGTTAAATGTCTTATTCATATGGTTAAGACTGGTGCATTCAAGTCCCGCAGTAATGTACAGACAATTTTGCTAGTTACCTCGAAACTCAAATTCAAAACGTCTTTTTTTGGACTATGATTCCAGAAACCATTACTTGTGATTAACAAAGCATATAACGAAAGTTTTAATTAGGGAAACAATTAACAATTCCTGCCGACCCTAATCTCAACAAGTTTCTCTTTTTGTTCTTCTTGTATGATGTATCAAGCTATAAAACGACACAAAGTTTACTTCGAAGATCTCCCTATTTTTTTGGGTCAAATGATAAAGATGATACGTAGCTATCGAACTTAAATATTAATTTCAATACCTTTTTTTGCCTTTTTAGCGTGGTATATATGTGTGTACATATTTATATAAGTTCAATGGAGAAAGATTGGGTGAGACTAATTTTTCGACAATCGTTGCGTGCGAGACAATTACCCTTTCTTGTAGTGGCGGATCATTACACCAAAATCTCTCTGTCTATCCCTCCTCCACCATTTTTTTTTAAGAAATATAAAATAAATTAAATGAAAAAAAAAATAAAACCGAAGGAACTAAGCCAATACCAAATATCAACGAAACGATAATATAAACAAAATGATGTGTGTGTGTGTATGCATTTATAAATAGTAAATACTGAATACCAATAAGCAAAATGCTTTGTAACACATATGTGTATCATTTGATATGACAAAGAACATGTACACGTCAATGTATAAATTTATCTCACTAAATATTAATTATATGTAACAGTTGCCGCATATAATAATATACAATTATCTTGTATGACGGTATACAATATGATACAAAAGTATAATCTCTCCAACATTGCTGCTTACGAACCCTGTTGCACATAGCACAATGGAAAAGGTTCGCAAGTGATTTTTTTGGTACTCGTGCACATGCTAATTAATTAATAAGCCTTTTCAACTCATTTTTCTTTGTGTTCACATTATTAGTAAATAATAATAATATACATGAAGTATAATCAAAAGTTGTGGAATAAATTGAAATCCTAACGGAAAAAGGAAAAACAAACAAAAGTTGGGTGAATATACATAAGATTACTTTAGCTTGTAAAAAATTAAAAAATGAATTATGAGACGGGATCGATGTAGATTGTAATCTTATGAAAAGTTTAAAGTTCAATATTCCCGCACCAATATTGACGTACAAGCATAACTAAAGTTCAAAGCCGGATTCCACACGGCACTGTCTTGCGTTTAATTTATGGTATTGGTAAATCATACGAGGGTAGTTAAGGAAATGTTGAAATGTTTCTTGGAATCTTCTCGACCTCTCAAAAGGTAGAATGCTATAGCGAAACTACCAGTCGATCTCTTTAAAGAAAAATCCTAAAATACTAGATGCCCTATGTGAATATACCATGAACTTCAGGGTTTTGTCCAACAACCTTCCAAAATGATGTTCATTGTTCATTGTAAATATCGTGGAATTTGATAGTTCATTGCCTGTAAATTTGTTTGTTCATGAAGTTAACATCTAATATTCGACACAAATAAATGCCAATGGCGTCTCTATCACTTCTATTTTATCAATATAATTAATACATTAAACTTAAACTTCATATTTTCCCAATATCCAACATAAAAAATAAATACAACTTCAATTTTACACAAATACACTATTAGCACACAAAATATCCATAGGAAAACCGAACTCCAGGGTGGTACATTCATTTTTTCTTGTTTTGATAAAACGATATATTTACATTAAATTATTTCAAACTCGTCATCCACAAGATTTCAACTTAAGATCTCTCATTTACAAGTAAAAAAAATACTAATAGACCGTATTATACTTGGTTACATCCATTTACTAGTAAAAAATTACCGCTTAGAAAAAAAAGGAAAAATATTTCGCACATAATGATCTCGCGTGTTATGTTAAAGGCGATCGACACCAATTTAGTAAATTCATACGTAAATAACCATAAATGTCGTCGAAAACGATAATCGAATACCATACCATGAAAATAAGCCACATTCTCAAAATGTAATTCCGCACATTGTAAAAGAAATCATGTATACTAATTTCCTTAACGACAAAGTATCATCTCACTATCACTACACCACAAATCCATGGACAATGGCTGTGTTCATCTAGTCCCCATCAGTCTCTTTCTCCTTTCTCAGGCCACCAAATTTAATTTGTTTTAAATATTATTTAGTTTTGTTATACATAAGAACAATTAAATTGTTAAATACAAAAATAAATATATGAAAAATTAGGGTAAAGTTCATAGCAGTTTCGTAGCGGGACCGGGCTTCCATGCACAATCCTCCCGCGATACCTTCATCGCAACGCTTTGTAAATTATCCATAATACCCCTACGATCACTCAAAATCACTTCTCCTACCCAAACGCGCTCTGTTCAGGCACCACTTATTACATACGAATAGTGGTACTTTCGTAATTATGTGGCATTAAATACCCCTGTTAATTTCTCGGACGCGGTATTACGTGGAATTTAAACGAGGGTTGGTAGACTCGGTAAATATATATATAAACTGTGTGTCTCTCTCTCTCTCCTGTCTCAGTAGTCTCTCACTTTTCTTCTTTACTCTGCTGAAAGAAAAAAAATCTAGAGAGAGAGAGAGATGGTCCACATCTGATATCAGAACACCAAAATCTCCATTTCGAATTCGATAATCTATCCGATTCCTCGGATTTTCTTTTGGGTTTCTGGAAAAAAGTTTTGGGTTCTTGGAAAAAGCTAGATTTTTTGGTTTTTCTTCAGTCTCTCTGTCTCTCTGTTTCTCTCTCTAGAGTTACGGTGAATGCTGGTGGCGGATATGGAGACGCTGTCAATGGATAGTCTGCCACTGGGGTTCAGATTTCGGCCGACGGACGAGGAGTTGATTGATTATTATTTGAGGTCGAAAATCAATGGCAATCATGGACAAGTGGCTGTTATTCGTGAGATTGATGTTTGCAAATGGGAGCCCTGGGATTTGCCTGGTATTAAATTTTATTTCTTCATCTCTTAGCTTTCACATTTTCCTGATAATCTCTTAGCTTTCCATTAGTGTGTTATTTAGTTGTTAAATTCACTATTTAGTTTCCATTTCGTTGTAATTAAGCTGGGATTTTGTTGGATTATTGAAACTTTGGGAAAGTTATGAACTTTTTGTAGCAGCAAGTTCTCTATATTCTCACCAATTATCTAACTTGAGGGTCTTCAATTTCTGGGTTTTGTTTCTGCTCAATGTTTACGCTTATTTATGCTGCAGATTTATCAGTGACTTTTTAACAATATGTACTTTTTCTGTTGGGGTTTTTTGATAGAATGTGGTAAAAAATGCTTAAACTTTGCTTATGATTATCGGCTTATCATAAAAACAATCCATTAATGTCTTATTGAGTTGTAATTAGGCAGAGAATTTGATGAATTGTTGTAACTTAGGGAAAATTATCAACTTTTGGTGGCAACAACTTGTTTTTCTCACCAATTACATATTTTTCGGGTTTTCAGTTTTGTATATTTTTGCTCAATGTTATGTTTATGATGCGCTGCAGATTTATCAGTGATACAGACAACCGATCCGCAATGGTTCTTCTTCTGTCCACAGGACAGGAAGTACCCAAATGGGCACAGGTTGAACAGGGCTACAATTAAAGGGTATTGGAAGGCCACCGGAAAAGATCGTCAAATCAAGTCGGACAAAATCTTGATTGGAATGAAAAAGACATTGGTCTTCCATACCGGGCGTGCTCCCAAGGGTAAGAGGACGAATTGGGTTATGCACGAGTATCGTACGACACAGAAGGAGCTTGATGGCACAAATCCTGGTCAGGTTGGTTTTCTCTTCAACTTTTGTTTTGCTTCTTACTTCTTAGTTGTCTGATTACTTAGTTTATGATATTTAATTGATTCTATGAGCACATTTGGACACCAAAGTCTTGAAAATTCGTAGTTTGTGCAATCAGTTTAAGTGTGTGCTTTGTATAATTTAGTCAAAATCTATTACTTAGTGGGGTTTTAGTTTTGGTGAAATATCGTATAACCGGTTTGAGTAAAACGGATGGATTGGATGTCTTATCATAACTGATAGAAAAAAAGATGTTCATTTCTTGGTAATTAGGAAAGTAATTTTTTTTGTATGTATGACCTAGTTACTAAGTGTTATTGAGAAAGTGATAAATCTCAATCTTCAATAGAGTCTCTTTGTATGGAAATAAGTTATGTTTTTCAATTGAAGTTATTTAATTGGTCTGCGTGTGCGTTTGTATATTGCATTTTCGTAGGTCTCCGAAGCACATATGCTCAGATCACTGACTGGCAATGTAAAATGACTAAACTTTCAATTACAAATCTGATGTTATGTCCATGTTATTATGCAGAGTTCCTTTGTCCTTTGTCGCTTGTTTAAAAAACAAGATGAGACTATCGAAGATTTAAACTTTGATGAAGCTGAACCTACTGTTTCATCCTCCACCGCTGCCCTATCTTCTCCTCAAGACGTACAGTCTGATCATGCACCGCTTCCAACATCACCATCTCTTGAAAGGCAAGATGAAAGGCCTCTTACCAAAGTCGAATGCACCTCTGCTGATAATTGTAATGCGATGGGATCAGACACTCTACCGCCTCTACCACCTATTGAGTTCCCTAGCAACAACTGTAATGGTTATGATGCAGAAGATGAACTGAATATGCCGCTGGGGGGATTAGACATGTTTTATGATCCCCCACAAGAGCCACTTTTTTCCCCATTGCACTCGCAGATGCACGCAGAGCTCGGTTACTATGGCAGGAATGACTTTAGCGATGGTCATCAGGGGGTGAAGTTTCCATATGGAACCAATGAGCAAGAAACATATGTATCTGAGTTCTTGAGCTCAATTTTCAACAGTTCAGGGGAGCAGATTGATGTCGATGGAAGAGCAGCTGAATTACCGGTGAGTAGAAGATTTCATGTTACTTTATAACTTCAAGTAAAAATCGTCTTCTTAAGGCTTGCCTCCCAACTTGCAGTTGTACATATCTGCAGCATTCATGTTCTTTTAAATATTTGTCTCTAGAAAATTAAGGTTTCACTGATCTCATTTCATACAGTTCGAGACAGAGCTTCAAAATCCTGTTCAGCCTGAGGGGAATATTGACAGAAATGGTCCATTGATGTCAATTCCAGAAAATTATGGTAAGTCTTTTTTAGTATTAACATGGATGAGTGTAAGAGATATGTGGATGGTGTTCTAGATGAATGTTATTAACGGAATGCTTCTCCATTTGGTTTTTGCTGCAGGCCAATCCTCAAGGTCTGAGGTAACAAGCAATCATTTGAATGCAATTATCAGTTGCGATGCTGCTCATTTGAATGCAATTATCAGTCGCGATGCTGGACCTGGAATCAGGCTTAGGGCTCGCCAAACACAAAATCCGACTAGCGCAGAGAGCTTTGTGACACAAGGTGATGCGAATAGAAGATTAATACTTGAGACTACATTTCTGCAACTCCAATGCAGCAGTAGACCAGAAGACAATGAAATAAAACCAATAGCCATGGAGGTGAGAAGTTTGTGAAGCACAAATAATGTCAAAATTTGATGACATATGTTCAGGGGTTGGTAATGAGTTTAACGCTGTTTGCAGGAGATAAGCAATAACAAAAAGAAACCTATTGGTGCTGTTGCCACTGATGGTATTAGTGCTGACATTGATCTATCAGAAAAAGGAACCGTGCCCACAAGACCAAACTTGACTACGGAGGGCAGAATTGTTACCGGCAAAAGGGTGCCTTCTCTGTTGTTGAAGGCCTCTCCTGCCGGTCAATCTATGTGGTCCTTTGCCTTTCTCTTTAGGGTAGTTGTGGTTGCATGCTGCTTCATAATCTTGCTAGCTTATAGGGATTTCATTAGTTTTGAAGCCGTCGGAAGACCTTTCGCGGCCTAGCATACTGCCTAAACACCACTTTTAGGGGGTTGTTTAATTTTTGTGAGGCTAAACACAGCATAGATTTTACAGGTTGAGAGCCCTCGTGTGATTATGTACAGCAGCTAACAATTTTGAGGGTTTTCCATAAATAAAACTATGAACTTTTAGTTGAGCTGCAATTCTTTATCAGAAATTGTTCTTTTTTCTGTTAACTTAATACCCTTCGTGCAATCGATATTATGCAATTCATCGAGAGAAACTAACTTATTAGAGATTTTTCACTGTGATCGTCACAGAAGATGGTACATCACGTGTTCTTATATAACAACACATGATGTACCATCAGCGTTCCTATCACAAGTAAAAATTTCTCCTAACTTACATTGAAATGTGACTCTGAAGGTATATCACATCTACCATACACAGTCAAACCCTTTTAACTCCACATCAATCACGATGTGTCGTACATTTTAACTTCCTATATGACCGTGTACATTTTTAACTTCCTCCTACGACCGTTTGTATTTGTTTGGATACCGCGCGCCACACTTTACAAGTTAGTATATAAATTGCTGGTTGTACCCGTCCTTCCCTTATCGTCAACCCCTTCTGGTACTGCAACTGTTGACTTGCATCTCCGCAATTCCGTCAAACAAACAGAGATGCGTTCTTGTTCGATTGCCAATTTTCTCTTCGTTTTAGTACTCTTACTCACTTCTCTTTCTCTTGGTATCCCCCATGGCGCTCCTGATCAAACCCGCTACGCAAAAGAGCTTCTGAGCGCAGCCCAGCAGGATAAAAACTGGTTAATCTCCATAAGAAGGCATCCATGAAAACCCAGAACTCAAATTCCAAGAGCACAACACCAGCGCTCTTCTGCGCAGAGAACTGGATCGGCTCGGCATCCCTTACAACTACCCAATTGCCCAAACCGGAATTGTTGCAGAAATCGGGTCCGGTTCGAGCCCCGTTGTTGCTCTTCGAGCCGACATGGACGCCCTGCCGTTGCAAGTAATATCCGGGAACTTGTTGTTTTTTTGTTTTGATTCTCTGAGGAAGTTGTCTTTAATTTATTGTGAATTTTAAGGTTTAGCTTTTGGTGGATTTTGTGGTGGTGGTGATGTGCAGGAGCTTGTGGAGTGGGAGCACAAGAGTAAGGTTGATGGGAAAATGCACGGCTGTGGACATGATGCTCACACCACCATGCTTCTTGGCGCTGCTAAGTTGCTTAATCAACGAAAAGATAAACTTAAGGTCAGTTTTACGTTTTAGCAGATGCGAGTTAGCTCAGTTTAACGTTTTGACTCAAGGTCGAATCTCCCTTTCCGTACATTGTTTAGAATATAAAAAATGGTCAGTTACGTTTTATGTTTTGCAGCAAAGTGAATGTGCATTTTGAGGTTCTGAGTTAAAAGTTTCAATTTTTCTGTTGAGAGCATAACTTTTTGAACATGGGTTATGCCGATTGGCTAGGGCAGTGTTCTCGCCCCGTTGCACATAAGTTCGAATCCTCTTTCCTGTTAATTAGGGTAGTGTAGAATATATATCTTGTAAAAGCAATTTAGTGAGGTTTTATGTCGTGCAACAAGGTGAATTCGAATTTGAGATTCTGAGTTCAAAGTTTCAATCTTTCTGTTGAGACCATAATTTTCAGCAATGAAAAATTGCAAATTGTGATACAATGAGAAAATTTTGCGCAAAACTTCCTTACATATGTTGGTGTTGAAGGGAACTGTGAGACTTATTTTTCAACCTGGTGAGGAGGGAGGTGCTGGTGCCTCCAAAATGATAAAAGGAGGTGCTCTTGGTGAAGCTGAAGCGATATTTGGGATGCACGTTGATTATACAATACCCACAGGAACTGTAGCATCGATTGCAGGACCGCTCTTAGCTGCTGTTTCCATGTTTGAAGCCAAAATAGTCGGGATAGGCGGGCATGCTGCAGAACCCCACAATACTGCTGATCCAGTACTTGCTGCCTCATTTGCAATTTTGGCGTTGCAACAGCTCATCTCAAGAGAAACTGATCCCCTCCATAGCCAAGTACGTGCCTTTAAAAGAAGATGAGAATTCTTTTTCTGGTGATATCGTAGCTTTAGTTTCATTGCAATTTCCATTGTTTGTCAAACTGATCCCTCATTGTTTTATCAATTTGGTAAACTTTAAACGTGTTTTGGATATGAAAGAACTAGGCATATAGAAGGAAAAATAACAATCCACTGCAGCATATTGCTAACAGTTGGTTTTCTGCGCTGAAGGTCCTATCTGTTACTTATGTTAGAGGTGGGACTGCATCGAATGTAATTCCATCGTATGTTGTATTTGGGGGCACTTTGAGGAGTCTTACAACTGAAGGCTTGTACTTACTCAGGAGGCGATTGAAAGAGGTAAACGACATACATTGTTCTTTAACCTCGTTCCATCAGACAGTTAGACTTAGTAGAAATAATGCCGGATGTTTCTTTCATCACTCATCAGTAAATAGGGAGACTATCAACTAGCTTGTTTTGAAAGAACAAAGAAATAAACGAGTGAAGCATTCGGTTCATAAATTGGGATTTCTTGCAGGTTATTGAAGGACAGGCAGCCGTGCATAGATGTAACGCATATGTTGACACGAAAGATGAAGAATACCCACCATTGCCTGCTGTTGTCAACGATGAAAGCTTGCATATGCAGGCACAGAGGGTTGGAAAACTTTTGCTTGGTCCCGAGAATGTGAAGTTGTGCAAGAAAGTGATGGCAGGTGAAGACTTTGCCTTCTATCAGCAGTTTATTCCTGGAATCATGCTTAGCATTGGAATTGGAAATGAGGAAGTGGGTTCAGTTCACTCGCCGCACTCGCCTTACTTCTTTCTTGATGAGGATGTGCTTCCGATTGGGGCAGCATTACACGCTGCCTTGGCGGAGAGTTATTTGGACGAGCACCAACATTCTGTACACGGTGAAATTTAAGAGCGATTGGAGAAAGCCTTGATGGTTGCATACTGTCATGGAGAAATTTATAAATAACATAAAAGAAATAACTTTTGTGAAATGTGAATTTGCAAATAGTTTGTAACTCGCTTAGTTAAGAATTTGACCTTGCACCGAAGTTCTAGTTTGAATCTCCTTCCCAAGAATTTTCCCTTGCATCCGAAGTCCTGGTTCGAGTCTCCTTCCCAATCTTTGAGCCCATGTGAATGGATTTTTGTATGGTGGACCAGGCTTAACAAACCATTCCTTAGTCCATGTAAACTCCCAAAGTATCCCCATAAACAGTTGCCATGGATCCATGATTATAAGTTTGATTTATTTTAAAGATGGTGTTTGGTTTAATCAAGTTTGCTGACTTTTAGGTCTTTTGTGGGTGGTTGGAGAAGGAAGACACTGCATTTGTACACTAATCTACACTAGGGGAGGGGAAGGGTTTGACCCAAGATGTACTAGGTTGGACAGGAGGCCTTAATCATCGGGGCAATTCGTAATTGCATACTAAATGTTTTAAAGCTTAAAATACATTATGAAATCCCTCAAAATCCAGTAACATTCATATCTTTTAAAATAATTTAAAATCAAATTCTGATTTATTAAACCTGCACTTTTATAGACATTTAAAATTCTAAATAAATTCTCCTAAATTTTTATTTTCTTTAAAATTCTAATTCGAATTTTAACACTCTTTCAAAATCTCTATTAAATATACAACTAAAAATAATGATAATGCTCTAATATTTATATGTTTATGGGATCATTAGATCAGGTGAATTTTGTACTAGAAACAACTCAATCCAAAAATAATTGGATGGTTTTAACATTAAAAAAAAAACATAATTGCGTGGTTGATTGTGATTACTTTACTAACTAAGCCAAGCAATCGTCTAGATTCTTCTAACCGCCCATCGATCATGCATTGGACCGCACTTAATTTTGTGCTTTGATTAAACAGAATCTCTTCCCTAATTGATGCATAAACTTTTTCAGAGGACAAATCATTCTCCCCTACGTAACCTAATATTTCCAATTTTTATTGATAATGGATAAAAGATAATCAAAGAGGTCAACCTGAATTCGATTTGGTCTGCCTTCTTTTTGGCTGATTAAACTTTAATTAGGGAGCTGCATGAGGCCGTAGACTGGAAAGATTATGTTGTTGGTTGCGGTGAATTATGTCTTTGATTATTTTTAGTGGTTGTGAAATCAGTCACCAAACTTTTCCGCTGGGAAGGGACTTCTGTTGCTGTTACTGATGCTGTTGCTGTTGCTGACTCGCTCCCACGTGTCACCACCATGCATGCATGGTAAGTTGGGTCTCCTCTTTCTGAATGTTGGTACGAAAGAAAAGATTGATATCTTCTTTTTCTTCAAAGTTTCTGTATTTAAAACCTAACAAAGGAATGGAGAATCAGCAGTTTTCAGCTTTCCTTTCAAAAGCTTGGTTGGCATTTGATTTGATAGAAGTAGGTATATGAACCAAAATGGATAATTAAATGCACCAAACTCATATATATATATATACACACACACACACTTAATCTACCATAAGGCTATAATTATATCCATTTAGTTGCAGTTTGATAAAGTTGTATGGTGAAATAGGTGTAATGTTTTAGATTGTTGTGATCTTGTCATGTGATATTATAAATTTACTCATGTAATTGTATATTATTCATCAATATTATACTCCAAGTTGATAACATATCAACTCTCTTATTTATCATCGTAATTTAATAACTTGCTAGGTGAAATAGGAGTAATGTTGTTTTCAGGCTTCCAAATATTACATGTTCACTCATATGCGTCAACAATCTGTATTTCATATAATAATAGAGTGTCACACTCAAAAGTTTGTCGTGAAATAACCAGGCCCGTCACTCTCTTGGTGCATGGAAGTGAGAACTTTTTGAATATTCAGCAAAGAGAAAGAGAGAAAGAAGCGTTTTCAATAACCTGAAGAAACATCGATCAAAAGAAAGAAAAATTGACAAAGATTAAAAGGAGGACTAAGCTTTGTGATATGGAGGAAGCAACCCATGTGAGATCAACTTTACTATAGCTGGCTCGTATGTATATATATTTTTTATTTGGAAATAACACGAAAACTTAGAATGCAAAATTTCGCATCCCCACGCTTCATACATCCCAACTCAGTTATGTATGATTCATGAAAATTGGAACTCTCTTTGCTTAATTAGGAGGTTTGTTTAAGAGTTTAAAACACTTTGATTAGTTTAAAATTAAATCATCGTTTCCTCTATCTGCACGTAGCTTAATTTATTCTTATTTCTTCCTACAGTTAATGGCTAAATTAATTAGGACCACCATGAAAGTTGGTCATCATATATGGTCTAAATACAGTAATGAAGCATGCTGAACAGCTGATACCCAGAATAGTGTACATACATTTACTTGTTTAATTTGATCGTCCCAAGTAAGGCATGATCATCGAGTCTTATGTTAGGTCTGGAGGGTTGTCTCTAATCAGAAAGTTAAGCGATTTTTATGTCCAAGCATGTTTAAGTGTCGTAATATGTGAGGGGCATGTGTAGGTGTGGAGCAATGTCTCTCATTGAAAATTTAAGTGACTTTGCATATTCTTATAAGAACCACAACTTGCTTTAGATTATCAGTGAAGTGGCACATAAATAGATGATCAACCGGTGATAACGAATGGTTTATCATGCTCTACCAGATTACCTATAACTGAAATGTTCCAAGAAAATTACGTTATGTCATGTGTTAATTTTTTTCAAAATAGTACTACATAATTAGTTTGTAAAAAGTTACGTTATATCATGTGTTAATTTTTTTTCAAAATAGTACTGCATAATTAGTTTGTAATAAAAAATTCTCCTTGTGAGAAATTTACTCAGTTCTTTGAATAATTTGCTTAAGGACCAAAGGTATCCAGGTTGTCCAAATAAGAATAAAATGGTTACACATGTGTGACACTTCACCACCTTTGTCATGAAAAATCCACCAATCGGTGGGTCATGGAATTATTATCCTTTTGTTTTTTTCAAGTGGTTATCTTTTCCTCTCATTCTTTTTCTTTCCATCTCCTCTCTATCTATTCACCTCTCCCTGCTGCTCTATAAATCTGCCAAATCTGCTCCACTGTTATCTCCTCTCTCTTTTTCTACCTTCTCTGCCATGGAGATTGGAACAAGAGTTCAAAAAGAAACATTATATTAAGAGCTCCCTTTTGTATAATTTAGTGGCTTTGCATGTGCTGTAGAGTAACACACTCACTTTATATTCTAATATCCCAACTGGAACCGTCCATCCATCTTACTCTCTCGTCAGTCTCTCACTCCTCTCACCTGCATATAAATTAACACCCTCTTCTCTTCTAGGCTTCTCCCCTTCTTTCTCTCTATCTTCTGCTCTTACATTTTTCTGTTCAATTTCGGGGAACTCAAAGTTCATACTCATAATTCAGTAAGATAACAAATGGGTGAAGACGCTAAGCAGGTTAGTGGATTGCATTAATGTTTTCTAATTGGCTTGTATGGATCTGCATGAGTTTGTTGTAACAACACTGTTTGGCTTCGTTACGAAAGACGCCATTTCTCGTTTCTGCAAATAACAATTTGATATAAGTTAAGTCATCAAAAACACAAAACAAATATTTTGACACACACGTAAAACTGTGAAATGTAATGCTTATCAACTCTTTGTTGTTGGATAGGAACAAGCTAAGGCAGAGCCTAAGCCAGAGGAGAAGGCCGAGGCGAAAGTAGAGGAAAAGAAAGAAGAAGAGGAGAAAAAGGAAGAGCCAAAGCCTCCTTCTCCCTTCGTGTTGTTTGTAAACTTGCACTGTGTGGGATGTGCAAAGAAGATTGAGAGGTCCATCATGAGAATTAGAGGTAGTTCCTCTCATTCTCCCACCTCTTTTCTCTCTCACTGTTTTTTTTTTACAAGGGGAAATTATTTAAGACAGATATAGCACTCTGGCGGTTTCTTAAGCGTATTACACAGTCTCACCCCGTTGGAAAATTCTTTTTTTTGCTCTGTATGTTTATAGTTGGTGTGCATGGTTATTACAATTTGTTTTTTAAAATGCAGGAGTGGAGGGGGTTGTGATAGATATGGCTAAAAATGAAGTGACCATAAAGGGAATAGTGGAGCCTCAGGCAGTGTGCAACGAAATCTTGAAGAAAACCAAGAGAAAAGCAAAAGTCTTGTCCCCATTACCAGCTGCTGAGGGTGAACCCATTCCAGAAGTTGTTGCCTCACAGGTCCAACCGAAACCTTATTAATCAAAATTAATCAAATCACATTGAAGAAAATTAAACTACATTTGTTAAAACAGTGAACTTATAAGGGTGGTTTCTTATTGCTTCAGGTTAGTGGACTTGTAACTGTAGAACTCGAAGTTAACATGCACTGTGAGGCCTGTGCAGAGCAACTCAAGAAAAAGATACTCAAACTCAGAGGTATATATCCTCTTTTTTTCTTCTCTTTATATTTGAGTTAAACCGAATTATAAACGGTACCCTTTGTATTAATTACAACTAATGTGGGTTAAATTCGTGGTACGACTATCACACCTTCACGCGACAGTGTTAATCACACTGAAAAATAACTCAAAAAATTACTACGGCGTAGAGTGTAGTTTACAATGTCATAGCACATGGTGCCATTTTCTGAAATGGCAAATAAAAATGGGAAGTGCCAAAATATTACTTCAAATAAGGGAGAGATTTTTCAATGTGATCGGTACACGAAATGGTACACCACACATCACTATACAAATGATGAGATATGTGTACTAAAAAGTTAACAACTTAAAAAATAAAAATTTCCACCGTTCCAATTAAAACATGTGGTGTACCACTTGTGTTCCCGTCACAATTAAATTTTTTTCCAAATAAGGGTGCATTCTGACCTAAAACTACAAAATTTTGGGTCCTGTCTGACGTGGTCCAATAGGTTAGATGCGACTTAAACAAAAAATTGCACAAAACTCCTTTTCTATGTTTCCAATAATTGGGGCTATCTATCCAGCTCATTTTGTATGTAAAATCCACTAGCCCTCAACATATATATAGTTTTTGGTCGATAGCTTTCAATATATACATGATTGCTTGAGATAAAAGAAATTATCTTTGCACGGTGTCTTGTCTGTTAAACTAATTGATAAATTAACTGCAGGAGTGCAAAGTGCTGTGACTGATCATAGTAGCGGGAAGGTAATGGTGACAGGGACCATGGACGGGGACAAGCTAGTAGAGTATGTGTATAGACGAACCAAGAAGCAAGCCCGAATAGTCCCACAACCCGAGCCCGAACCCGAGAAGAAAGAAGATGAGAAGCCAGCTGCAGAAGAAGCAAAACCCGAAGAGGAGAAGAAAGAAGAAAATGCAGGGAAAAAAGAAGAGGATAAACCGGCAGAAGGGGAGGGAAAGAAAGAAGAGGGCGGAGCTGACGGGGGAGAAAGTAATAATAAGGAGGAGGAGAAAGGTGGCCAGGAGAACAAAGAAGAGGGGAAGAAGGTGGGAGAGATGATGAGTGGCAGTTACGTAAATAGTGGCATGGATGAGGAACAGATGAAAAGAATGATGCAGTACTATTATCAACCTCTTTTCGTGATTGAGAGAATCCCACCTCCTCAGCTGTTCAGTGATGAGAATCCCAATGCGTGTTGCATTTCATGAACAACTTGATCACGATCAATAATCCTTCAATATTCCATAATAACAGTGTATTAAAATGTTATTATGTTACTTAATTATGTAATATATAAAGTGCCACCACTCGTGACCAGAATTTTAGACAAGTTTTGAGTTAATTTGGTGGATATGGTATATGAAGTGGAATAAATATAATATACGTTTCCTACAAATTGATCAATAAGATAGTTAATCATTTTGTTATGAGTAAATTGTAGCAATGGTCTCTAAACTTTAATCAAATTGGAGCAATGGTCATTCAATAAAAAATCAATTACCATTGGTCCATCAACTTATCAAAATGTGTAGCTATAGTTATTTTCATCAATTTCTTCAAAATTTTGTCAAAATAAGTTATGTTGGAATAACCATTTATATAATTAGGGTCTCTCAACTCATCAAAGTGAGTAATTATGGTCCTTTTCATTAACTACGTCAAAAATTTTGTCAAAACGAGTTATGTTGGAAGGACCATTGCTACAATTGTGTTAAAGTTAAGAGACAATTTCTCCAGTTGAATTAAAGTTGAGGGATCAAAGGTAATGAATTTTTAGTTGAGGGACCATAGCTGCATGTTTTGATGAGTTGAATGACCAATGGTAATGGATTTTTAGTTGAAGGACCATTGCTCCAATTGAGTTAAAGTTAAGGGACCATAGCTACAATTTACTCTTTTATTATCATATTACATAGCTACTTATTCACGTTTTATAAAATGTAAATGAATTATATAAATACATAATAAAATAGGTACACATGCATATTGTAGGAAGAATAAATTTCTGGTATTTGTAAACATGCAAGGCGGCACAGAGGGTTAGCTTTAGTTACGTAAAAGTTGGCTTTTTAAGCTATTTTAATTTTAAAAAAAGTTAAATATGACGTCACATGGTCTGTTTCATATACATCACAAATCACTCGCTCAAAAAATTGAACCAGGTCAAGCAAATGCTGGAACAACCAAAGCAAGTGAACAAGAATTACACAAGATTTGTGTGCTATTTTTTCATGCATGCAGCGCATGTTAATATCATACGGTTAGATCATGTCTCATGAGATGCCCACTTAAGTGAAAACTACACGAAATGGATTAGAGGAACATAAACACTAAGCAAACTCTCTCAAAGTGAGATTCTTCATTGATTTTCTGCAACCTTACAACTTAACGTTCATATATGTGCCAACATTATAAAATGTATATTAAAACATGAAATGACAGATAATCAGTCTTACTTTTAAGTCTCCTTACCATTTTTCTTAAAGGAAATAGTTTCTGACTCGTGAATATTCAGTTCATGATGACTAACAAATGTTTTTTGTTGCAATCATTTGTCTTTGGTTTACAAATTAATCAAGGACGTAATGCCAACATATTATCTAATCTTTTTATCCATTAATTAACGTAATTAAATCCAAAAATTAGGTTTTGTGTTTGTGCATGTCACATGTAATATGGATAAGTCGTTAACAGGAAACAAATCTGATTGGGGCCGTCGAGATTCCCTGAGATAAAAACAGAGGTGTGGTGTGGGTTTCACATGGTGGCCTCCAACTGTTAGTACTTGAAATCCGAGTCATCTGAATAAGCCAAAACAGTGCCACCAGGGCAAAACGTCAAAAGAGAGTCATGGGCGGGACCCACAATCAAATACTCTAGCGTGGCAGAGACGGTGATGCCATCGCACCTGTCTATTTGTCGCATTAACAAAACAAGCCTAACAAGGCAGGCCGACCGATGCATGTCATTTGCTTCTCAAAAGTGGAAGACATACAATGTGAGCTCGGTCGGGTAACCAAAAGGCCAAAGGAGGAGGAAATGTTGTGATTACAAAACTCAAAGCAATCGTCCCCTCTGTGTGAGAGGAGTAGGATTTTTCTCTACTTCAAATGCTCCCTTTTCTGATTTCTCTCACCCTTTTTTTCTTTTTTTTTGTTTATAAAAAATTCAATACAAGATGTTGGTTTAATCGTAACCGTTCAAATAAAAAGAAAAGAAAGAGGAGGTGAATTTGGAGTGAGAGAATCTTAATTCGAAATACTATGCTTGACTAACAATATGTCTTAGTTAATATCAAATGTTAGTTATGTAAGACATAGACGATTATATAGATACATTGTGTAATCTTACCAAACAAAATACTTCTCCTTTTATAATTCATGTAGGTATCGTTTGGTATACAGACTGGACGGGACGGAACGGGACGGGATGAGACAGGACGGGAAGGAACGGAGAGGGAGTAAAGATGCCTTCAGATGGAAACAATGAGGAAGAAGAAGGAGACGAATATGTTATAATTTTGTGTTCCACGGATGTGGAACGAGTCGTTCCAAGGGCGAAAATTCACCCAAAATTCGTCCCGTGAAACAGCGCATTCCACCCGTTTTAGAAGCAACAAACGTGGGACAGAACGCCTCATCCCACTTCGTTCTGTCTCGTCCCATGTACCAAACAGTACCATAGTGGAAAATTAAGTCCCAATGCAAAATATAACAAATCCCCAAAGTAGCTACAAAACCACTTTTACTGTGGGACTAGCCTAGCTAGTATAGTTATATCCAGTGTTTTTCAATATTGGTACTTTCTAGACTTTTAGGCATTTGAGGGATGTTAGGGTTCATCTGTTATGGTACGATCAAGAAATTTAAAAAAAAAAAAAACTTGCATGCATGTGCATGGCGGCATAACCAATAAGAGCGCAAAATGATGACATGGTGCCGTGAGTACGAATGCTTTATCTCGAGAGGAATTACATGATCGAGAGATATATTATTAAAGTTAATCAGGATTAAGATAATTAATAATTAAAAGTAGTATTGTTGAAAGTTCCAAAGTCTGAAAGCCAAACTTGGTTGATAAGGAAAACAAGCCACATGGGAGTCATAATCTGAAAACTATATAAAACTGAACGACCTGCAGATATGCATGCATGCATGAAAGGGAGAATACATATATATATACACACACAGTGCACTTTTTTTGTATATCCAAGCGCTGCTGACACATCCTTCCAATATTCAAACCAAGATTTTCTCTAATCAAAGTATCTTTAATCAACTTTAATCAGGAATATTATTGCTTAATAATCTTTAATCATACGAATTGGTCAGCAGCCGTGCATGGTAAAGCTTAAACATAACCATGATAAAAAAAAAAACCACACTCGATCAGCCTAGCTATACCCTTTCTTTTGTAAAGATGTCCAGGAATACTTAGCTGAGGACGTCGACCTCCTACAATGTCTAGTAACTTAATCCTATATAAAGCCTTGAAAATGTGATACATAGAGATAAACAATAAGGGAAACATCTCAAAAAACCATGCAAGAACAACAGCAACAACAATCTCTTGCATGCATGCATACATCTTGAAGCTTTATATAATTAAATTAGAGTTTGGATTTGGATATGGCCGATATGCAAATTGTTCCTGCCTGCAAAAACGTAGAGGCGCAGTATGTGGAGATGATGGTTCCTCTCTATTCTCATGGATGTGAGAAGAAAATAAAGAAGACCCTCTCCCATCTCAAAGGTAAACTATACCTCTCTATAAGTACATATTATGATATATTGCTAAGCGCCACCATTGTCGATATTTTTCTCAGGTATTTCAGTTGGAAGTCATAGCACATATAAATCTAAAGTACTAATAGTTTCTAACATTTTCTTCAACCTAACAATGCAACATTGCAAGGTGGTCAATCCCCTCAAGTTTCATGTTTTAATTTGTTGTGTTGTGTGTGCCCGCCTAGGTCATGAGTGAGACATTATAGTAGCAGTCGTTTAGTTTGACTATGTCTGATATCCTAGGCCCTTCTCAAAATTGCAGCCTGAAATTAGATAATTTTTGTGGGCCTGTGGCTATACATTAGGGTTTTCACTCATTTTACAGTCTGGGTTGGTCCAGTTGGGGTATTAAGCAGCAGTAAACGTGTGAACTAAAACTTAACTAATGTTGTGTTGTAACAATGTTTATACGTACGTGCAGGGATATACTCAGTGAAGGTGAATTATAACGAACAAAAGGTGACGGTATGGGGAATATGCAACAAATACGATGTGCTTGCAACTGTAAGGAGCAAGAGAAAACACGCATCTTTTTGGAACCCTGAAGACAACATTGCCTTAGAAGATCAATCACCAGAACCACCGGCGGTGACAACACCACCACCTTCCTCTCCTCCTTCTCCTATTCATAAGACTTCAAGTGGTAAATACACAAAGCCTTCTTTGGCTCTGATTAGGGTTCGATCTTTGAGCTGGAAAGCATGGACTCCATGGAAGAAAGTCTTCAATAGGTCCTATTCATTACCCTCAAGGCTGAAGCTCAACGTTAATTGATTATATACAACGATCGATAAGAAAATGTAAAGGAAGATAATGCTTGCTGCCTTCCTCTTGTTGTAATTTGGATTAGATAACTACTATGTACTTTAGTTATGTGGAATTTAATCATCTGCCAAATACCAATAGAAGCAGGTATTGTTTAATTACTGCTAAAACTTAGCTATCCCTCTACTTGAGAGAGAGTTAAAATAAGTATATACTCGTGATAACACACCCAAAATAAGAAGACCGAGTCAAATCGATATGTAAAAATCTCACCGTAGTGGTTTGTAAACCAGACTTCCTCCATTGATCAATATCCTCTCACTTTGGTAGTCAAAAGAAATTGGGTACTGGTCTTATCTATCCCCTCTTTCTCTTTATATTCAAAATTATTTGGCAGGATTTGACAAGTTTATTCCTTGTTAACTCTTTGGTAGGGTCAGCATGATGATCATGTGCCCATATAGTTACCAATTTACTGCAATTCAGAATTGTAATACTACCTAAATAAAATGAAATATGCATGCATGTACAAATGCACGAAAATCACATATGTTAAGTTAGATAGATACTTGTGGGGAAGCAACATAAAGCAGAACCACATGGCATTTTCCTCATTTTCCCCTGTTGATTTGATGCGAATTCTCAAGCATAACAATATGGTTAGTACGCAAAACTTTTCTAACTTTTAAGCCACTTCACGCACATCCATCCAAAACCCTCCACTGGGTTCTTGCCACATCAGCCAACAAAAAGTGGTGAGGTGAGTACAAACACAAGTCTTATAACCAGGCAAACAAAACGTGATTAATACCACTTTAATCATTACAATTTACGCCTAAGCTGACCAGAAATGTGATTACCGTGTACGTAATCTGGGTGAAGAAGTCTCTCCATATGGTAATTTTCGTCCACAATCCTCATTACGCCTAACTCGATCGGAAAATAAATAGAAGATACTAGAAAGTTGAAAAAATCCAACCAGAGATAAAATATAATCTGTATGCATAATCTACATGGATTTATATGCACTTTTTGCCGTCACCTCACCTGATATCCATTACCTTTAAAATCAAATTTGGCTAAATAAACCCACACGTTACAACAACTAAAAGGTATATGTAAAGTCACCAACCATCTACGACTTTGAAACAAAGCTTTGAAGGCGCGGTAATTGCTAACTATATAGCTACCTACCAATCAACACCTCTCTCTACCTCTCCCTCAGTAGCCGCTCTCGCTCTCTTGAACGGAGGCTCTACAATTTGTGGGGGTGAGAAAATTAATCATAAAAGAAGGGATGATAAGGGTAGGCATTGTTGCAGAGCTGCTAGGGTTGTACACAGCAGCGCTTGCGAGGATGACGGAGCAGCTCGTACCGCCAAGGCGGCACAGTACCAGTTTTCGTGGTCTCGTGAATAATCTTCGTCAAGCTTCTCGGCCGGCCTCCACTCACGACGCTGCTTCTTCCTTTTATCTATATTTTTAAGCTAGTGTACATCACTGATGGATACACTCCTGAGATTGATTGGGCGGCTTTCTTTCTCTAATTGGTTGCTTAATTTGCACGTCTTTCATTGATATCTTCTTTATTTGGTTACTTTATCCGTATTCATTTTTGGATGCTGCAGTATGCTTCCATGAAAACGGTGTATGTATATGAAATTCTGTTTTCTGCAGTAATCTTCTATTAGTTTAATTTATCGCGTAATTAGTCATACATGCATATGTAATCTTGGATCATATATTATGCAAGTTTTATATTGCAGGCAGCAGGTTTTTGTTGATTAATTAGTCTCTTTTGTATCCGTAAAAGAGATCAAATGATGATTAACTAATTAATTGCCTGATTTAAGATTATTAATATTCTATTGATTGCAGATCAAGGCTCAAGCTGAGTCAATGGAATATAGCCCGTTATCAGTAAAAATGCTTTGAGACAAATATCGTTTAAATTATAATAAAATTGGTAAACAAATAAACTAATGCAAGAAAACAATTTGATAAAATTAGACATAAATCTAAGTTCTTTAGCAATTATTAGGTATAGTTGCTTCACTGCATCAATATCTTAACTGACAAATGACATATAACCTATAATATAAAACAAAAAACTTATCCCATTAAATGCGATCGGCCGTACAAATACTAGAACTCCACAGCGTTTGAATTTGCGTCATATCTTTCGTTAGCTCCAAATACTATATATTTTCTTAAAGTTTCTAACCAAGTGTTCCTAGGTCTTCTTTTATCTTTTTTGTCCTGGACCTCCGTCTCATAGTCACATTTTTTAATCGGGACATTTGTGAGTCTTCAGTTTAATTGTTCAAACTTATAATATAAAAAAATAAAATTAAAAATTAAAAAAAAACCCTGATGATGGGACGGAACAAAAGGTGACAAATTTTATGATTGATGATCCATGTTCAAGATGATATTCCTTGGTGTATGCTTTTCGCAAACGATATAGTGTTGATAGATGAAACTCAGGAGGGGTAAATGCGAAGCTTAGCCTTTGGAGAGAAGTGTTGGAATCTAAAGGTCTTTGCCTAAGCCGATTAAAGACAGAATATATGGAGTGCAAGTTCAGTGCAAATGGAGGCCAAAATGAGTTAGGGGTGAGGATCGGAGATCAGGAAATACCAAAGAGCGACCGTTTTCGCTACCTAGGATCTATATCTTGCAAAAGAGCGGAGAATTAGATGGAGATCTCAACCATAGAATACAAGTTGGATGGATGAAGTGGAAGAGTGCATCCGGCGTGTTGGGTGACCGTCGTAGGCCACTAAAGCTCAAGGGAAAATTTTATAGGACGGCAATAAGGCCGGCGATGCTGTATGGCACAGAATGTTGGGCGGTGAAGCACCAACACGTACACAAAAGGGGTTTGGACATGTGCAAAGAAGGCCTACTGACGCTTCAGTTCGAAGATGTGACTACGGGATAGAGGTTCAGGGCCGAAGGGGTAGAGGAAGACCTAAGAAAACTTTGGAAGAGACCCTAAGAAAAGACTGAGTACTTGGATCTAACGGAGGACATGACACAAAACCGAGTGCAATGGCGTTCTAGGATTCATATAGCCGACCCCACTTAGTGGGAAAAGACTTTGTTGTTGTTGTTGTTGTATATAGGGGTGGTTCGGTATGGGATCCCATACCGAAACCCTTGTCCCGATTCCCAAACCAAAAATTTCGGGAATCCCAATTTCAATACCGATCCCAAACCAAATTTTCGGGAATCCCAATTTTCGGGAATCCCGAAATAGTTTCGGGATTTCGGGACAAATCGGGAATCCCGAAATGATTTTGGGCTTTTGGGCTTTTGGACTAAATATTATGTTTTTGGGCTAAAATTGAACATTTTAACACTTTTGGGCTGCAATATGCTAAGAAACCCATTGCAATATGTGCCAATTGCAAGACTATGTTAATTTAAATGTAGATGCTACAATTGCAAGACTGCCAATCTGGATTCAAATGTAGATGCTACAATTGCAAGACTCTGTCGATTTAAATCATTCATATAGAAATATGTGCAACTATTGAAGCCTTCATTTTCTATGGACTCTGTTGATCTAAATATATATTTAAAAATTAAATAATATATATATATATATTTTTCGGTTCGGTTTGGGAATACCAAAATCCCAAAAACTTGAGACCGATTCCCGTACCGAAATTTCGGGATCGGTTCGGTATTGGGTACCGAAATTTTCGGGAATTTCGGTTTGGGATTTTTTCGGTTTGGTTTCGGGAATTTTTCGGTTTGGTTTGGGATTTTTGGGATTTTTTTCCAGCCCTAGTTGTATATATGTTATGTGAAGAACAAAACCACAAACACTCCATGCCTCCGACTGCTTGCTTGGTCGGTCTAACCATTCACAAGTTTGAATCATAAAAAATAATAGAGAAAGCTGTCGGTGTGGACATTTAATCTTGAAGATTTTCCAACGACTTGACTAAAACAGTAGTTAATTAAATAATTATAAATAGAGTTGAATTTTGAGAAGACAAATTATATTTTGTGACATGTTCAAATTTGGTTTTGTAGCTAATTAGTTTGAGCTATCTTTAAACTTTTTCTCACTCGACAATTAGTTACAAACGATAGAAACAAGTCATGATAGATGGTTGAAGAAGATGCACTGCATTTTCTCTGAGAGTTGTCCCACCCAATAACTCACACTCTCAGACCCTCTTTTGGTTCATTTACAACTCCTTTGCTCGTGATAATAAAGTCTATCACTGAAAATGATTGCATGATTATGACAACTCACATATCGTACTAGAGAAATATAAAACTGGTGCAAAATTAAAATATAATGAGTCTCATGGTTTTAAAAGTATTTTGACCAACCATGCGGTTAAGTTTTTTCCTTATTTATAACTGTTTAAACTAGGGTCTCATGCATTAATATTCTTCGTAATGAAAATTTGTTATATGATATTACTAATTTACATGTTATGATATGAGTAAACCAAAAATTTATAAGGTGTATAAAAAAAATTAAAGAAAAATACATGCATTATAATATAAGTATGAATTGATTTGTCGACAAAACAATATTAGGATCTTCATTAAAGAATTACTTCAATTTTAAGACCTAGATTCATACATACAAGTCCATAATCTTTCTTTTATGATTCACAATTTGCAAACATAAAAGTTGAACATTGTACTTTGTTTATACAAACAATATTGAGAGTAGAATAATCAAACTTAAGATGTGAAACGCAGAAGGTTAATGTTAAATCTTTAGCCAGATTTAGAAAAAAAAATGGAGGGAATACTTTTGCCCACCTCCTAAAGTAAGGGGTAAGCATCACCCCTACTGATTATCGTTAAATTAGTTTAAATTTTAATATTCATATATTAGATCGATTAAAACAAATTAATTTAACGATAACAAACAAAGAGAGTGAGCATCACCTCACTTTTAGGATGTGAGAAAAAATACACTCAAGATGAATACAAGTTGAGGGGAAGAGAAATTAATTGTCAAAAGTAGGGGGAGGTAAATCATTTCTTCGAAATGAGAGGGGTTTCTTTGTAGATAAGCGTAAATCAAAGGCCAAAACCAAAGAGAGTGACTTTTGAACCCAAAATTCTCCTTTTCCTGGCTTCTCTTGGACGGTGAAGACCCGGAGGACACTCTGCCACCAAT